AAAAGAAAGAATTAGTAAACATTCATTTAATTCTTTATTTTTAAAAAAAAACTTTATCCTCTGTTTAATTCTTAATGATTTTGCCTATAAGTTTCACTATCTGGTAACCCTTTGTCAATTAAAAAAGAAAGAATTAGTATACTTTCATTTAATCCTTTATTAAAAAAAAATCTTTATTCCCTGTTTAATTCTTAATGATTTTGCCTATAAGTTTCATTATCTGATACCCTTTATCAAATAAAAAAGAAGAATTAGTGTACATTCATTTAATTCTTTATAATTAACAATTATTTAATTGACTCTATTAAAAAAAAAGCATATAACTCTTTATCCTCTGTGTGATTCTTAATGATTCTGCCTATAAGTTTTATTATCTACATAATAACTCTTTGTAGATTAAAAAGAAAGGATTAGTAAAATTATACATATAGATGAAAAATAATTAATCAATGTAATACAAATTTTGTTTCTCATTGCACATTGATCACGTGAAAGTCACAGATGTGCATTTAGAGGGTGGTTTTATATGAATAGGATTAGGAAAAGACCACGCAATGCATTTATGGAGGGATGCATTTATCTCTTAAGTCCCAAGGTTGGGAATGAGACATAGCATGCACTTACGGAGGGTTGACTGTAGCTGATTTTATGTTGTGTGTGAAAATTTATACTTGTATGTTTATTAAAAATTTTTGGATACAATCTTCACACATCAATTTCATGCACAAATAAAGGAAATAAACTTAGTAATAGTGAAAACAATAAAAGCAGCCAATTTTTAGTGAATTCATGTTATTTGCTAGATAAAAAATTTATTCAAGTTCTTAGCCGGCTAAGGTTTTTCTACCGGCTAACATCACTATACTAGAGTAAAAGAAAATCCTGGTGAATTTCACATTGACAATGGAATTCTATTTTATAATTGGCTAAGAAAGCCAATGGTTGATGACCACCTTTATAGTAAAACACATAAAACTAAGAAAAATTTGTATGAAAATAAACAACGTCAACTTCAACAAACTCTCTTTCCTCTTTTGAATCTAAAAAGATGAATAGGCAATTTATTATGGATTCACGTTTAATATAGATGTTGCATTAGATGAATATTGGTCAAATATGGCTGATCATTTTATATACCTTTTTATCTCAAATAGCATTTGAATATACAGTATATGGTCACAAAATTTATCTGAAGAGTCTTTACAAGTTTAATTATGCTGTGCTTTATTTTAATGGTAGTAATTAGGATTTCTATTTTGTAATATTTTTAAATAAGAAAAATAATAACTAGTTTAACGGTCGCGTAACTATCTTTCTGATTGAACACCACCAAATCGTTTAACCATGGATTCGTTTTTTTTTTTTTTTTTTTTTAAAAAAAATAGAATTTCTTCAAAATGCCTTGATTTTTTAAACGAATTTACGTTGGACATGGTTTTTTT